GATGACGCCAGAAAACCAGATAGCATTGTGTAGGGAGAGTAATGTTTTTCACGTTTCGAGCGGCAGGTTTTTCAACATTTCATACACGACACGGTCGTAGCCTGGGGCAGAATTACTGCAGTTTAGTGACGTTTGTAGCTCAGCTAAGTTGAAAGGTTGGTTGAATGCCTCTTAGTTTGTACACTTGTGTTCTAGTTTCTGCTTTTCTATCCTTGCTTTATATCTTTGGAAAGCTTCAGTATAGTGTGATGAGCTAGACACCTGCTCGTAGTGGGCACCGAGGAAGTTCGCCTGATCTTCCAGGCTGTCACCCTGTGTGTTAACGAGTGGGAGTGAATGTACTTGTCTTCCTGCTACCCTATGAACCATGTTCCAGACTTTAGCCTCTTGTGTATATGAATCGAACCCTGATAAGAACTTGTGCCAGCTTTCTCTTGTGGCATGCCTGCGCGTTCTCCTGCTTTGAGATTTTATTTTCCTAAAGCTGTCAAGATTTTCGATTGTTGGTGAATTTCGAAACAACCTCCATGCCTTGTTCTGCGCCTTTTGCGCATTACGACACTCGGTGTTCCACCATGGGATACGTCGCTTGCCAGGCAGTCCAGATGTTTGCGGGATGTACTTGGCTGCTACGTCAATAAGGAAAACTGTGAAGTACTCCACAGCTTCATCTATGCTTAACTCACACATGTCTGTCCAACTTAAATGAGTAGTGTTATAAAACTGTTCGCAGTCGGCTTTGTATGTCAGCCATTCGGGAACTTGTGAAGGACATTCGTATGATGTTGGTGTACTCAAAATGACAGGAAAATGGTCACTTCCGTAGGGATTGTTTATAATTTTCTATTGGAGTAGTGGTAGAAGTGAAGGAGATGCAATACTGAGGTCTATGGAGGAGTAAGTTTTGTTTGCAAGGTTATAATATGTTGCCTCCTTCCTATTCAACAGACAAGCACCTGATGAAAAGAGGAACTGTTCGATGAGACGACCTCATGCATCACATCGACAGCCACTCCATAAACCGCTGTGCACATTCAGGTTTTCTAGAACCAGATAAGGTTCTGTTAACTTATCTATTAAAGACTGGAAATCATGTTTTTCCAGGCGGTGTTGCGGCGGTATGTATAGAGAGCAGATGGTGACAAGCTTATTCAATAGAACTGCTCGAACAGCCACTGCCTCTAGGGATGTTAGTAGTGGTACATGACTACGTGCTACTCCTCGATTAACAATAATGGCTACACCACCAGATGACGCCCCGGTATCATCTCTGTCCTTTCCGAAGACAACATATTGACGCAAAAAATTTGGATTCATGGATTTAGGTGTGTTTCTTGTACACACAGCACTTTTGGGGAATGTTTGTGTAGAAGTTCTTGGACATCGTCGAGGTTTCGAAGTAGTCCTCTGACGTTCTATTGTATAATTTGTGTCTTCATTATGGGAGTGAAGAAGTGCTGTGTGTTCGAAATGAGTGTAGCTGGTGTCTAAAGAGAAAAGTGACTTATCTTACAGAGCCTTTAGAAGGCCCTGTAGTTACCGTTTTGTCTTTTTTAGAGCGGTCGAGGGAACCTCGCCGCTCCCTTGGCGCAGTCTGCGCCGGTGCAATGGATGTGTCCATCGCCACAGGAGAGACGACAGACAATGTTGTTTTCGTTGTAGGCTTCGTCGTGACAGACGGAGCCTTCGACCCAACCTGGCTCGAGATCGAGGGGACCTCTTTAGTTTGTGCGGTGCCCTGGCTGCTGCCAAGGTTCACAGGGGCCTTCGGTGGGGCTGTATTCAAGGAGGGTGGGGCAGCCGAGGCTGCTCCCCCCATGGGGCTTGTGGCGTTTGCCTCGGCATGCTAGGCGTGGTCCAAGGCATTGCCGAAAACCGAAGTGGTGCTGACCCTCCTCGCACCACTTCGGCATACGATGTGTTCCCAGCAAAATGCAGGGAAACCCGCTGCCGCGCTTCAGGGAAGCTTATGTTCAGTTCAAACTTTGTAATTATTATTTTTTTCCTTTTTCCAGGCCACGCATGACCTGCAATATGGAGGATGGTCACCCTCACAGTTTGCGCTGTGGACTTGTAGCTGACCATCATCAGCAATATGACCCTTGGTGCCGCATTTCGCGCAGGTAAGGTGTGCTCGGCAACTCTGGGAGCTGTACCAGAACCTCTGACACTTAAAGCAGCGCCACGGGTTGGGTATGTATGGTCTGACTGGCAATTTAAGATATCCTGTTGCTATTTCAGTGGGGAGAGTGCCAGATGCGAAAGTGAGTATAATGTGTTTCGTTGGGATTTATTTTCTCTTCTTGTTTTGATATGCTGCAGCTGAATGACATTTTCTTTTTTCCAGCCTGTTACAAGTTCCTCATCAGAGAGGTCCATCAGGTCTCCATCTGATACAACACCCTTCACGCTGTTCATGGTTCGATGCGGTGTGATTGTGATAGGCTGATCCCCAAATGATGTAAGGTTATGCAGTCTCTGGTACAGTGCGTGGTCTTTTATTTTGAGTAGCAGGTCACCACTGGCGGTCTTTGTGGCTTTGTAGCCTGCGCCTAGCGTTTCTATAAGGCATTTGGACACAAGCAAAGGTGAAATGCTTCTAGCTTTCTTTTCTGTACTTTCACAGTGGATGATGTGGTATTTCGGGAAGTTATCTTTCTTGTTTGGAAGAAATTCAAAAATTGCATCGGTGCGCCACCTCTTGGAGGGGCGATTGGTTGTGAGAGGGCTAGGAGTTCCCATGAATTTGGTAGCTTATTCGGCGGCCATACCAGCCACCCACCACCGAGCCCAACAAGGGGACACTGCGAGACGCGAAGGAGACGCAAGCGTCAGCCGTACATGGCTGCTATAACCTAATATATCTACCCAAGGTTGGATATCTACACCAGGTTAACCCTTGCCGCCGAGAATTGTGGAAGTAAAAAGAAGTGAGGAGAGGACAGGAAAGATCGAAAGTAGTAGAAAAGACGAAAATGGAGAGAGAGAAGGAGACAGGAAGAGGCGACTGCCGACTTCCCCTGGGTGGGTCAGCCCAGAGGTAACGTCTATGTGAATCCCGGGCCAAAGGGTTGTGTTGCCTCTGCCGGGGAGCCTTAAAGGTCCAATCACCCAGCCTCAACTCAACCCCCAGGATGCCCTTTCCCCCGGACACAGCAAATCCACGCACGGCTAGGCATGGGAGGGAGTCGAAACCCCCCCGTTTGGTGTCGCTACACACCAAATGCGTACTTACTCAGACGCCCCTGCGGGGACCATATTAGGCTATTTGACAATTATCAAACATTTATTAAAATCTATACTGCCAGTTTTACACATGTGATCACATCAGACAATGTCGCACAAGATCAGCAACACAAGAGTTCCGAAACTGAAACCGACCACCAAGTCACGGCGGCAAATTCCCGCGCTTTTGTTCTACTGCTGCTTCCACGATGACTGCTACTGCGCTTTTGGGCAGTGTATCTGCAATTGAGCAGGACGAAGACGAGTGCTCTTCAGCACCTATTGATTATGGCATTGTAACGCAGCAGCACGTCCTTTAAAGTTATGCGAGCCAGACTTGAAATGCAATGCCATGCATTGGGTGCACGATATCGACGCATCTACGCAAGACGTGAAGGTACTCAGGCTTGACATCCAGAACGGGGCCGGTGCAGAAGAATGAATGCAAAGATACTGCGCTGCCACCAACACATCATGGATTGTTCAAAAGAACGAAAGCAAGTGCACCAAGTAAGACATGCCCAATTTTCTGCTTAATGCACGCACAAATACCCATCTACTTATCTATACCTTTTCGCCCAGGGTTTTTCAAAGTGGAACCCTCTCGTGCATGATGTCATCGCAGGGAACTATTCGCCCTGAGATCTTTGAGTGGCGCCCTTTCGCAAGTGACGTTATCGCGGAGACTGGGGTGCCACTCTTCACGCGCTCGCGACGTAAAAACAGCTCGACAGTGTCGGCCCAGTCTGTCCTGCGCGAGTTATTTGATGGGCAAGTTCATAAAACAATTTGTAATGAATGTTCAAGCAAAATGCCCTGCGAAATCGAGTGGAGTTGCCATCAGGAGCATGTTTAGTGTCATCTGCCAGCCTTTATTGTGAACATTTGCATATATAGCAAGGATTTGTTTCCTGACTTTTCCATGGCAGTCTTCTGTGTCTTTGTTCAGCACAATTTATGTACGCAGTGTGCTTCAAATGTACAGTTGCGAAACCTGCTCCTCAAGTTAAATTTTGCCGCTCAGAATTTTAAGCGCCAGACAAACGACGTGACATGTCACTAAAGAAATCTAAGTGATCATCACCGGCAACAACATTTGATTATATCCATTTTAAGATGCTACCGTGTAAGTGCATCAAAAGTTCTTCAAATAATACTAAATAAAAAAGAAAAAGGCATCAGAAGAAAAGGCTTTGCATGATATGGATATGAAATATGGACAGGTTCGTATAGAGTTTTATGCAACATTCCAACAACTCCATTGATAAATCAATGTTTCCCAGTTTATTAACGGTTGCCTGAAAGTATGCTGAATGGAACTGGAGTAATCATACTAATGTTGGCAAATACAAAGCTTCGGCATCAGTGTGTCGTGTGTATTTGCAATAAACATACAGTACAATAAAACATAGAGTATAAAACATACCCAACAAATTGCTGAACATGGCTTACTAAAGAAGGGCTGCTTATTGTTATTTCAGGATGATTTTTCACAAGGTGTGGCGTTGCCAACATAACGACAGAAATAAACTTAGTGCATCACAACAAAACACGAAGTGTGCTGCCGAATTAGACTTCAAAATTAAAAAAAATTGAATCTGAACACACACAAAAAAAAGACTAATTTTTACGCAGAGCTGTCCCTCTGCAGGCAATAATTAGACTGTCTGAAGGCCACAACCACAGCACACAATCGGCAGATGCTCTCAGGATGCTCCGTGCCAGCTCAAATACTAAGGAGACATTCACACGCACACACACTATTTTGATGCAACATGGCGCCTGTAGAAGCCATGAGACACCACGAGGCTGTGCTTGGCTCACAACCTGATGGCCCCCTCCTGCTCGCAAATGGCAGCATGAACCCCCTAAAGAGGACCGTTTACTGGTGGCACGAAGAGTGGAGAGTCGACAAATATGGACCACCTGGAAATCCTATCTGTGGCAAAGCTGCAGAAGGCAGCCACATATGCAGCTGCTGGTAAGCTTGCTCATGAGAAGTTCACTGACCAATTACTATAAGAATGCCAGTGTTTCTAAACAAAAAGCACTAGCATTCCCATTTTTCTTATAAGTGTTGCACTGACATATACAGATTACAGTGTACTCTGGTCACTTAAGTTGCTTTTTCATAAAGTATGCACGCACTTTTGCAATTCAATTTCTCTCTATCAGAAGGCACATCCGAGATGTCAATTTTTAACAATGCAGACATTGAGAGTCACGTTTGAAAATATCATGCATGAGAACAACACACTGAAAATAAAACCACACAATTTGATGTGTGCCATGTCAGAAAATTTTCCAGTTGACTGCAGCACAAATCTGTAGCCTCAACCGGCTCCTTCACTTGCACCTGCACTGTGAAAACTGAAAGTAATGCCAAGGCTGTCTTGACTACTGTGAGGCAGAGATAGATGCATTAGCTCCACTCAAGTAGCGTAGGCTCCATTGTCACAGGCTCACCAGTTAGCTCACGGTATACGTAACCAAGCACACAAGAAGCATGTTCAAATACTAGTACATTCTCAATTTCTTTAGTACAATGCACAGTAGCCAAAAAAGATTAATGTGCTTTGCCAGACTATTAGCTCCTGACACAGCACATTACTGTATGATGAATGTTGCTGTTGGTGTAGCATTTTTTCTTTTTGTTTCTAGGATGCCAGTGCTGTACATTATCTTACGTAACTATCACTTCTGGGGCATTTTTTTTTCCTGTCTGTTTTTGTACGTTGCTCAATTACCACAGTGTCCAACATAGACGATAACTTGGACCAGCTTTTTCATTACAATTTACATTTACTGCACAGCACTTTTGGTTACACTGTAGCTATTGAATCAGTTTAAATTTGTACGCAGCGTTCCATTTTTACTTCTTGGCATCTGCAGTCGGCACACTGCCAAAAAAGATTGGAAGCTAATTCTGGTCAAGCAGTTCTAAAGCAAACACTCTTTACTGTCAATATGCACGCACGAGCGTTTTCACAACTATGTCCAAAGACAGCTGGGTGGCAGTTGTTGTGACGCCAATTATGCAGCGCGCCCAGAGGCTCGAGTCATGCACAGGATGTCATATTTGTTGACTCCACATCCTCCTGTGACACCGAGGGTAATACAGCAACTGTGCTCCTCACGGCCACTAAGGCGGGTGCAGTACCAGTGGCTGTTGTCCTGCACAGCTCACAAACTCGAGACTGCTACCGTGCGGCCTCTCAACTGCTGAAGGAGAAATATCCAACGTGCTTCGGCAACAACCAGGTACACACATCTGCATGTTGAAATTAAAACAAAAAACAGCTTTTCTAGCATTGCCAAAGGAAAAAATTGTAATTGTAATGATGCTGGTACACTTTTTGGATGGTGAGATGAGTAATATCAGATTTTGCTAAGCATAATGACAACCGAACACCTTTAAAAAGAATGAAAATGAATTGAAGCGTTAAAAAAAACTTTCAAGAATTAAAAAAAATAGACGCTTAGAGAAATATGGTAAGCTCTAGCACAGATATGTTGCAACTACATACTGCAAATCAAAGAAATTTCTTTAACAACGAGGTTGCTGTAGGGTGCTAATTTTCACAGCGTTGCAAGAAACTACAGCGGCGGGCAGGTGTACATGTTATGGGAGTGGCGCAAGTTCACCAAGGTAGTGAGAAAGATAAGAGAGGCTCAAAATTTATTTATCAATTTAATCATACTGTTAACCCTTATTCGAGGGTCATTACAGCGAGGGTGAAGGATTGAGATGCACAAGAATAAATATTTGACAAGTATTTGTAAGATAAACTCTTAAGATATCGCACACTTGTATGAGAAACACAGTTACATGCTTTTTCATCCATAACATTTGCAACATAATATTTATCTCTTATGGAACATTTGTAAGAAAACAGATACATGAACACCAATAATCTATACGTTTGAAACAAAATGCCCGTCAGGAACAACAAGTACTTTTTTCTTCCACATCATTTATTAATTCATTCCCCATTCTAATACCAATAGAAAAGAAGGAAAAAAGGAATAAATCAGTTCGAATGTTTATTGGTTGTATGAATGTACCGAGTGTTGTTCTTGGAAACCTAAGAGCACATCAAATAATTATAGTTTATTTTTAACCCTGCATGTAAGATATGAAAAAGCATTTTCAATCTCTGCTTCTGCCTTCTGAATCTTATTGGTTTTAATTTATATACTTCCAACATTTCAGTTACAGAATCTGTTCCTCGATATTTGGAGCACAGCGACGCTACTCGGACATGGCCAACGAATTTTCTACGAGGGGTGTGAACCATCATTTGGCAGCAGCGGCACGACCAGTGAGCACACGCCTAAGATTTCGCTCCATATTTTTCAGGTTGGTGAATATCTTTTTATGCCATTGTTCTGCTCTCCGCCGCTGCTGCCAAGTGTTGGTGTGTAGTTATAGTGTGAAACTGCAGTGACATGCCAAAATTACGTTGTTCATGTCGTCTTGGACCAGAAGACGGACGCCCGCTTCTGGCTTGTTCAGAATGTAAATTCGCATTCCACCTAGGTGCATGCTCAGGCGTTTCTGAAGAAGCGTGCAAAAAACGGGGAAAAAAACATGGAAGTGCGATAAGTGCAAGACTGGCGGCCAGAAATCTGAGACATGATGTGGAAGGGGTGTCAACTGATAGCATAGTAGCGCAGCAACTCCACTCACTTGAACTTAAGATTGATGCACTCCTAGCTTTGCCAAGCAAGCTTAAATCAATGGAAACAGCTGTGCAGCTTCTGTCGAACAAATTTGATGAATTCAGTGAACGACTGCACGCCCAAGAAACAGCTACGAAAGGTTTGTCGAAGAGAGTTGATAAGCTAGAGAAAAGCAAGGTAGATAAAGATGTGGCTTTGATGGCACAAGATTTAGACAAGCTAGAATATCGTAGCCGACGCATGAACCTAGAAATACATGGCATTAGGGAAACTGATGGTGAGGATCTTGTGGCAAAAGTGAATGAAATTGCGAAACAAATATCACTTCCCTCCCTTACCCGCAGTGATCTTGAAACCATCCATCAGGCTACCCGCTAAGCCAGGCAAGACTCGTGGCATTATTGTGCGCTTCATGAATCAGGAAACAAGGGACAACTGGCTCTCAAAGCGGCGACAGCTAAAAAGCGAAATGAGTAACACATACATTTGTGAGAACATGACTCGACAGGCGCGAAAACTGCTCACTATGATCAAAGAATGGGCTAGGAAAACGGGTTTTGCATTCGTGTGGCATGCCAACGGTAAGGTGCCAGTGAGGCGAGCGAATGGCGAAAGAGCAGTGGTCATTCGGGGAAGCGAGGACATGATACGTTTATCATGAAGAGTGGTAACAGTTGTGTATTTCTCGGGTGATCCAGTCCCAAGATGTCGTACTCACCATCCGAATTCCTACGCGATCTTCCAACCTTAAGAAGCGGCTCTGCGCTCTCAGTTTTTCATTTAAATGCCAGATGTTTAAGAAAGAATTTTGATATAATTTGCTTTACTGAGACATGGCTGTCATCAGATGATGATTGTATTTTGATTGATGGTTATGAGTGCATATCTGCATACCGATTACGAAAGCATGGTGGTGGCGTCTGTGTGTATGTCCGTGCAAACCTCTCATATAGAATTGTTGCCGAGTTTAAGGTTGTAGGTGATAGCTATGAGTCTATAATGTTGGAATGTTCTAATGTGTTATTTTCTATAATTTATCTCCTACTGGTTCAATAGAAAGCTTTTTGAATTTCATTGAGAAATCACTGGAGAGATCTCTAGATTCTCGCTTACAGACTGTCTTGGTAGGTGACTTTAACATCATTGTGTCGCTAGATAACTGCAGATACGTATGCCTAAATGAAATAATCGAAGCATATGGTTGTATGAATGTAATTAGCACCCCAACAAGAATAACCGCCACATCGGAAACAACGTTAGACCTATGTATTACAAGTTTCGATACTACTGATGTCAAAGCAGGCGCAATTACTACCGGCATTAGCGACCATTTTCTAACATACTGCTTCCTACCAGGCAGTCGTGTAATCAAAGTAAGGATGAAATGCTCTTTAGGAGTTATTCTAGCCGCAACATTAAACTTTTTGAGAACCTTATCTCTGGAATTGACTGGAGCACGGTTATAGAAGAAATAGATCCTAATAAATCATACAACATATTTTTAAAACACTTGACATCTTTAAATGACGCGTGCTTCCCTCTTAAGCCCTGCAAAAAACACAGAAAATGCAGAAAACCATGGGTGACAGTGGAACTATACAACAGAATTAAAGTCAAAAACAACCTTTTTCAAGTTTTCCTATCTTCCAGAGACGAAAACGATTTACGTAATTGCAAAAAATTTCGTAATACACTGAACAAAGATTTGAAGATAGCCAAGACGGAATACTACATTAGTAAATTTACCACTCATTCAGGAGACGCGCGCCTGCTGTGGGACACAATAAATCAGCTCATTAACAAAAAGGAGATATCCAGACGAATAAAATTTGAAAAACTGGGCAAGAGTAAATTAGAGATTGCTCACACCTTTAACAAATACTTTTTAACAGTCGGTGAGTTTACAACAGACAGCACGGAAACGTGTTGCGAGAACTATATAGCATCAAATTACCCGTCTAGTGTATTCCTATTTCCTACTGATCAACAAGAAGTGGTAAAGCTAATGACGTCATTAAAAGATAACTGTGCTTGCGGCCCAGATGAGATTAAGCCAAAGCCTTTAAAGGCTAGAAGTTCACATTATTGCTACACCACTAACGCACATTTATAACTTGATGCTATCTTCAGGTGTTTTTCCCGATCAAATGAAACTTGCGAAAGTAACTGCCATCCATAAAGGTGGGTCATTTGATGAGCTTAACAATTACAGGCCTATATCTGTACTCTCTGTGTTCGCAAAAATGGCTGAACGAGTTATATATAAGAGGATTACGGGCTTTCTAAACGCAAACAATATAATAGCAAAAGACCAGTATGGATTTTGCAAAAACAAGTCTGCTGAGTCGGCTCTACTCAGCATCAAAGAATACATTCTAAACAACATTGAAAACAAAGTCTTTACACTAGGAATATTTCTGGATTTTAGAAAGGCATTCGACAGTATACAACACGATCTACTTTTACGAAAACTACCGTATTATGGCATTCGGGGTACCACAGCTCAATTAATACAAAGTTATCTCTCGTCTAGAAAACAATATACCATTGTAAATAATACACACTCTCAAGTTGAACACATTAAGTATGGTGTCCCCCAGGGATCTATTCTTGGACCAATCCTATTCCTGCTGTTCATTAATGATATCGTAAATATCGATGGACACAAGAAAATAATATTGTATGCTGATGATACAAATGTATTTTTCGCAGGTTCAAACGTATGTGAACTATATAAGGAAGCTAACATTTGGATGGAGAAACTAAATTCATGGTTAAATGCTAATGAACTTCAATTGAATATCGCTAAAACAAAGTACATGTTTTTCAAGCCTAAAGGAGTAGCTCACATACCATGCACTCCAATTTACTTCCAGAGCACCGAGATTCAGCGCACAACAACAATAAAATTTCTTGGAGTTCTATTCCAAGAACAACTTTCTTGGTCTCCTCACATTGACGCGATAAAAAAAGATCTTTCCAGGAGAATCGGCATTTTAAATAGACTGAGATACTACGTCCCATCAAATGTCAAGCTGCAAATTTACTACGTACTAGTACATTCACGACTAACATACTGCTCCTTGGTGTGGCTAACAACGACCACCACGAACCTTAATTCTCCGTTGATATTACAAAAGCGTGCTATACGTGCTATATCTAACACTCCCCTTTACGAAAGTGCTCGACCATACTTTATAATGTACAAAGTATTGCCTATAAAACTGTTATACAGACATAAGCTATTCTTGGACACATATTATGTGAAACAAACACCATACCAGCTGAGAAAGAGCCTAATATACAAATATAGATCACGCACGAACTACGGTGACCAACGATTAGCGTCACAAATTCCAAACATTCTAAACAAACACCCAACTATATTACATTTACTGGAAGACGAAATTTCAGCTAGATCATTTAAAAAAATAACGAAAGAGTTCCTAGTGGATGAAAGCGATGCTTTTCTTGATTTTTGAAATTTGTATTTGATGATGTTTTTGTATTCGTTGCACCCTGTTCATTATTGTTCCTTTGCTTGTTGTTTATTATACTCTAATTTGTCTTGTAGAGCAACTCGATTTCCTAGTCAAGATGTTTCTTGTTAATTTATTTGATAGCAAACATGCATTTGTTTGTATTTGCCACCACTCGAATAAGGACTGTTTATATTTCTATTCTTTTATTCACACTTCTGGCAGTTCCTGTTTGACTATGGTACCCGTGTAAGATAACACGTGATGTTGTATTTTTCTGAGTACTGTACTTGCGGTATGTTTCTGCTTTGCTGCCAGGGTGGTACGATTAAGTCAGGCTTTTACTTAGTCTTTAGTCGCGTCCCCCAAGGCAATCTTGTTCAATTTTGCCTTGAATAAAAGCAAACCAAACCAAACCAAACCAAACCAAACCAATAAAGCGATCTGACAATCTCTGAATGTGTTCCAGTTTATTTTTTTAAGACCTTTTGATGTGGGTTCCACACAGTGCTAGCGTATTCTGATCTTGAACGAACATCCATTAAAATCTCATCAATTAAAACTCTGTTATTTTGAATGGTGTATTCGAAGTGGTCGCGCGCTTTGCAATGCAAGTCTGAGAGGATATTTTGAAGTGGTGGTCAGCGCTAGTTTGGTTCATTTGAAAACTTTGGGTGCCATGTGCGAATTCCTTATCCCAATACATCGCAAATCTGCGGGAACGCCGGTTCTTAAAAGCTACAAGACAATGTAACGTAGCGATACTAATGAGTGGCAGCTAAAGCACACCAGCCTCGCTACTTCCAGCATAAAAAGAAGAAAGAAAGAAAAAACACCGCCATATGAACAAAGTGACAATGTTAAAGGAGCTTGCTCAGAGGTGCACCAGGCGTTTCTTGGTGGAACCCTTTCTGTAGTAAGGTTCGTCAACGATCCGGCGCATGATGTGTACAGTATGTCGAAAGGCAGCGTTGTCGAGCACACTCCGCGGGCGGCACTGCACAGTGTTAGCCACGCTTATCGGCAGGTTAACCACCTGCCCCTTTATGCCATACTGGCTGCTGCCGTCAATCAAATGATCAACACTTGTAAACGGCAGACATGAAGCTACCAGGCATTCTTCAATGGGGTTGAAAGCAGGCAGGTCAGGGAGCTTGAGGGGATATTGGTAGATGTGTGTAACACTCACTCTAGGAACTTGTCACGTGCTGCCATGCCTATGAAACCATAAGAAAAAAAAAAAAGGACAAACTCGTGAGGATGCGAGCATGCAGGCCATCAAAAAAAGACGCCTTGTAGGAAGCCTTCATGTGCGTGCCGCGCCTCCTCCTCCAGCGCGCACACAAAGGCTCCCTGATGACCTGGATGGGGGCGACGCGCCATCTATTGAGCATTCTGGCAAATCACCACATTTAGCTGTGACCAGGGAAGTGTACACTGACAACACTGGCGTACACACCGGCTGCCAACACCGCCAGACAAAATACCTGCAATAGAAGCATGCTGACCAGGGCCCTAAAGAAAAAGATGTCGTGATCAACCGAAATGTGCGCCTGCAAAACACAAGACACGCTTCACCGCAACAGTCGGGTGGGCAGCACATTGCATGTTTCTTGCGTATTTCCGATGTTCGGGTACTCGTACCTGCTTTTCTGTGTGGCATTCATGCCCAATGCGATGTAGAAGTCGTCTGCATGACGGGGTCGGCACCACGCCGGTGCATCTGTTAGGTCTGTTAGGTGTGCCACCGGAGCTCCCGGTAGGTGCTTACCACTTTCAAGGCAAGAAGTTTTGTATTGGAAGTAGTGATCGGGGGATCTAAGGCTCGCTTGACGATTTTGCAGTGGAAAACTTCTAAAGAATCTTCATCACGCTTCCGTAAGTGCAGGTATGGAGTCTCATACAACATGTTACTGTGACAAAAGCATGTGCAAGATGAAGATCCTAGCTTTTGAGGAAGAATGGGTGAATGGTCGCACCATGATGTGCAGACGCAGGAGGAGCAGGTGAAATGCTGCTCACATGTCACTACTATGTTGCAGTGAAAATATTTTATTTCCCGCAGGTGCACATTTCAGTTAATCATGTCAGCATTCTTTTTTTAATACAATAGCGTTAAAGAACTCGTTTCGCAGAAATTCCCCCAGCAGTGTCTGCACTGCTGGCTGTGAGTGAAAAATCA